AGAAGCCGGCCACAGACAGCTGTGAAGAACTTGACCTCTGGCATCCAACAGCAAGTCCCCACTCAGAAATAGCAGGGCCTGCTGCAGCTTTTTTGGCAGGGGACACCCCACACCTGACAGTGACAGAGAGCTGGGGGTATGGATTCAACACCCAACCAGAGCAGGATGCCTGGATTGCTTTTCCTTGGCAGGTGGACACACAAATCCTGCCCCACAGCTCAAAACAAGCACTGGAGTTTGGGTATCCAGACCTCCAGCACGTCAGGACCTCCAGTTGTCACCTGGGCCAGGCTGGAAAGTCGCAAGTGCTGGAGCAGAGGGACATTTCCTCCACCCAAAGAATTCCCTGCTGCAGGAGCGTGGCAGGCACAGAATCCCAGGAGCACCCAGGCTGGAAAAGATCTCCCAGACCCTTAAGTTCAGATTCTCACCTTGTCCCAAGTCCAGGGCTCTGAGTGCCACATCCAGGAATTCCCTGGACACCTCCAGGGATGGGCATTCCAACCCTCCCTGGGCAGTGCCAAGGCCTGAGCGCCCTTTCCAGGCAGAAATTCCTGCTGCTGCCCACCCTGAGCCTGCCCTGGCCCAGCCTGAGCCCATTTCCCCGTGTCCTGTCCTTGTTCCCTGGAGCAGAGCCCGACCCGCCCTGGCTGTCCCCTCCTGTCAGGAGCTGTGCAGAGCCACAAGGTCCCCCCTGAGCCTCCTTTTCTCCAGGCTGAGCCCCTTCCCAGCTCCCCCAGCCCCTCCTGGGGCTCCGTTCCCTTCCCTGGACACGCTCCAGCCCCTCCAGGTCTCTCCTGGCAGGAGGGGCCCAGAGCTGCCCCAGCACTGGAGGTGCCCCAGCAGTGCCAGCCCAGGGGATGGGCGCTGCCCTGGCCCTGCTGCCACCCCAGAGCTGGCACAGCCCAGGGGCCTCTGCCCACCTGGGCACACCTGGGCTCGTGTCCAGCTGCTGGCACCAGCACCCCCAGGAAATCTTCTCCAGCACCATTCAACCATGCCCCCTCTCTGCCAGCGCTGCACTTTGCACTGCACGGCCTCCTCGGGCTCAGGAGCCGCTCAGTGTCCCTTCAAGAGCAGCCAGAGGACCCTTCCCTGTGCACCCCTGCCAGCCTGGGACAGCAGGAGCACACTCCTGCCTCGCCCCCAGCCAGCAGGAACGTGCCCACTGCAAACTGGAACCATCGGGATCCTCACTCCGTGGCTGCAGAAGGCCACAGATCATCCCACATGAAACTGCTCTGCTCCTGCTCTGTCGGAATCTGTGGGTATTGGTGATTCTGAGATTGTAGAAAGTCTCTGTCTGTCAGCCCCACTGCCAAAGCAGAAGCCATAATTCGTCTGTGCTGGTTTCAAGGTTGTTTATTCTGTTTATCTCTAACATGTTCTGCTGCCCTGCCGCAGCTCTGTCCTGCAGGGCAGCGTGTGGGGCTCTGCCCTCAGTGGGATGTTACAAACATTAAATACCACAAACTACCTGTGCTGGATTTACAATAACGTGCCAATGTAACACCCCTCAGTGGGATGGTACAAACATTAAATACCACAAACTACCTGTGCTGGATTTACAATAACGTGCCAATATCTGTCACCTACATTGGACAGTGTGTCCCCAGCCTAAACCAACAGAAAAATGCCAACACCACAGTGAAACATGGAGGGCATGAAGAAGGAGAAAAAGGACAAGGCACACCCAATTTCCTCCATCTTGTCCCCTTTGGGCCCCTAATCTAGAAACCTAAAATTTTACTTTTGCACCCGTGCCACACTTAATTATTACTGATATCAAACACTCAGAGCTGGTAATTCATCCTGTAAGATTGAAAACTCTTTTCCATGGACAGAGATCACAGCCAGTGTCTCTGGGGGCTCTGTCCAGGGGGGTTCCTGACCCCTGCCAGGGTCCCAGACCTGCCAGGGCAGCCAGAGGGAAGCTCTGGATTCCCACACTGCTCTGTCAGCTCCAGGGACAGGCTCCATCCCTGGGACACGTTGCCTCCTCCACATCCCCCCAAACCCACTGGCTCCTCTCCAAATCAACGGTGAGTGGCCAGAGAGCTTCTGCCAGGCACAGCTCAAAGGCTGAGGCACAGCCAGGGACCGGCACAGGCTGCCCAGGGAAGCTGTGGCTGCCCCTGGATCCCTGGAAGTGCTCCAGACCGGGGCTTGGAGCAACCAGGGACAGTGGAAGGTGCCCCTGCCCGTGGCAGGGAGTGGCACTGGATGGGTTTAAGGTCCCTTCCAGCCCCATCTGTGAGTGTGACAAGGTAACCCAGCTTTGGAAGCTGCAGAGGGCAGAGCAATGCAGACATCAAGGCTGGAATACGTGACCCAGTACGGAGATTTGTGCTGGATCAGCCACTTTCCCAAGGCTAAAATAGCCAGGAACAAAGCTCCCCGAGGAAACAAGGCACAGAGGAAGCAAGGAAGGCAGCAGGGCAGAGACACAAAAGGGGCACAGACGGTGCTGTTGGAGCACTAAGTGAACCCACTCGCTCCTGTCAAAGTCTCCAGTGACTCTGGGGCAAAGCTCCTCCTGTCCTCAGGACACAGCCCCACGAGAGCCCTGTGTCCCCAGAGCCAGGCCAGGCAGCACCCCACCAGCACCCAGCTGGGGACAGGGAGTCCCTGGTGCTTTTTGCACTGTGTGGGACATCCCTCCTCACCCCAGGCACCTTTCAGGGTTCTGCTCCCACATCCAACTGCAGCAGCACTGCTGCCAGAGGTGTTATTTCTTCAGGAAACAACCTGCAGCAGCTCTGATCCCTGCCACACGACCCAGAAGGGTGCTGAAGTTGGAGACCCCCTCGTCCCTCAAGCAGCAATCCCCAAAATCCTTCCAGCAGGACAGGAAACAGGCTCAACATCCAACAGTCCATCCCTCTTGGAGCAAAAGGATTGTCTTTGCAGGAGGCAAACCAGTCCCTTTGGGAGGCCTGGCTCACAGCTGAGTGTTTTGATCACCTTTCTCCAGCACCCACTCAAACCCAGGGCCGTTCCCTGCCTTTCTAAGCACGCATTTTCCTGATGAAATCCCTCTTGGAGCAAAAGGATTGTCTTTGCAGGAGGCAAAGCAGCCCCTTTGGGAGGCCTGGTCACAGCTGAGTGTTTTGATCACCTTTCTCCAGCACCCACACAAACCCAGGGCTGTTCCCTGCCTTTCTAAGCACACATTTTCCTGATGAAATCCCTCTTGGAGCAAAAGGATTGTATTTGCAGGAGGCAAACCAGCCCCTTTGGGAGGCCTGGCTCACAGCTGAGTGTTTTGATCACCTTTCTCCAGCACCCACTCAAACCCAGGGCTGCTCCCTGTCTTTCTAAACTCGCATTTTCCTGATGAACCCCCGCACAGCCAGCCTTCCACAGGGAACCTTCTGCACCCTGCACTCCCCCAAGTCCATTTCTCTCCACCTGTGAGCAAGCCTTGGCCACCCCAGCCCCCACGGATGGCTCCAGGAGGAGCTGTGCTCCCTGAGGGCCTCAGACTTGTCCTGATTGTCCCACTCCCGTAAGTGACACCCCACGAGCCACCCTGGAAGGATGACTGGAATGTGGGTCCCAAAATCAGACCAAAGCAAAGAAGGTGAGGTGAAGCCTTTCTGCTTCACAGCTGGCATGAGAGAAGAAAGAAATTTGGAAAACACTCTCCTCTCCACATAAACACAGGATGCAGTGTTCACTGATGTTAAGGATGTCACCTAATTTGGGCCAAAAATCAGGCCCCAGGGATTTCTCCCAGTGCTTCCTTCAAGGTTCCCAGTGCTTTGAACAAGGCACAGCTTGGCACTGGAGGAGATGGGAACAAGGTGGGTTCCTCCAGGGCAGGAGCATGGAAATCCTGAGCTCCACGGGGGCAGTTCCTGGGCTGGCCCTGCTCCCAGAAACCCACAGCCCCCCAAATCCCGGCTCTCACTCACTGCAATTCCTCTGCCACACAACCCCGGTTCTCTCTGCAGCCCCCCAACCCACAAACCCCAGATCTCACTACAGCCCCCCAAACCCCAGATCTCACTGCAGCCCCCCAAACCCCAGATCTCACTGCAGCCCCCCAAACCCCAGATCTCACTGCAGCCCCCCAAACCCCAGATCTCAGTGCAGCCCCCCAAACCCCAGATCTCACTGCAGCCCCCCAAACCCCAGATCTCAGTGCAGCCCCCCAAACCCCAGATCTCACCGCAGCCCCCCCAAACCCCAGATCTCACCGCAGCCCCCCAAACCTCAGATCTCACTGCAGCCCCCCAAACCCCAGATCTCACTGCAGCCCCCCACACCCCAGATCTCACTGCAGCCCCCCAAACCCCGGCTCTCACTGCAGCCCCCCAAACCCCACATCTCACCGCAGCCCCCCAAACCCCGGCTCTCACTGCAGCCCCCAAACCCCAGATCTCTGTACAGCCCCCAAAACCCCATATCTCACTGCAGCCCCCCAAACCCCAGATCTCACTGCAGCCCCCCAAACCCCAGATCTCACTGCAGCCCCCCAAACCCCAGATCTCTGTACAGCCCCCAAAACCCCATATCTCACTGCAGCCCCCCCAAACCCCAGATCTCACTGCAGCCCCCCAAACCCCAGATCTCTGTACAGCCCCCAAAACCCCAGATCTCACCGCAGCCCCCCCAAACCCCGGCTCTCTCTGCAGCCCCCAAACCCCAGATCTCTGTACAGCCCCCCAAACCCCGGATCTCACCTCAGCCCCCAAACCCCGGATCTCACTGCAGCCCCCCAAACCCCAGATCTCACTGCAGCCCCCCAAACCCCAGATCTCACTGCAGCCCCCCAAACCCAGATCTCACTGCAGCCCCCCAAACCCAGATCTCACTGCAGCCCCCAAACCCTAGATCTCACCACAGCCCCCACCCCCCGGCTCTCTCTGCAGCCCCTCAGAGCCCCACCGGACCCTCCCCTTCCCCGGTGCCCCCGGCCCGGCCCAGCCCCCCCCGCCGGCCCGGCCGCCCCTCACGGCCTCAGGCCCCGCGCCGGCCCCCGCCAGCGCCGCTACCTTGTACTTGCTGAAGCCGGCCAGCTGCTCGGGGCTCACGTACTCCATGGCGGGGCTATCGGTGCTTTTCCCGGTGTTTTTCCCGGTGTTTTTCCCGGTGCTGTTCCCGGTGCTTTTCCCGGTGCCGCTCCCGGCGCCGCCGCATCGGCCCACACGGCGTGGCCGTGACGTCACCGCGCCCAGCCCCGCCCCCCGCGACGGCGCCGCCTGGCGGCCGGGAGGACCCCGCGCGGCAGGGAGCGGGAAGAGAGGGGGGAAATATCCCGGGAAAAAGCGGGAAAAGCGGGAAAATATCCCGGGAAAAAACGGGAAAAGCGTGAAAATATCCCGGGGAAAAGCGGGGGGAAAGATCCCGGGAAAAGCGGGGGACAAAGCGGGAAAAAAAAGTCCGGGAAAAGATCGCGGGGAAAGCGGGGGAAAAGCGGGGAAAAAGATCCGGGAAGAGCAGGGGATAATATCCCGGGAAAAAGCGGAAAAAGCGGGAAAATATCCCGGGAAAAAGCGGGAAAAGCGGGGGAAAAGATCCGGGAAAAGCGGGGAAATATCCCGGGGAAAAGCGGTGGAAAAATCCGGGAAGAGCAGGGGATAATATCCCGGGAAAAAGCGGGAAAAGCGGGAAAATATCCCGGGGAAAAGCGGGGAAAATATCCCGGGAAAAAAGATCCGGGAAAAGCGGGGGAAAATATCCCGGGAAAAGCGGGGGAAAAGATCCGGGAAAAGCGGGAAAAGATCGCGGAGAAAGCGGGGGAAAAGCGGGGAAAAAGATCCGGGAAGAGCAGGGGATAATATCCCGGGAAAAACTGGGAAAAGTGGGGGAAATATCCCGGGGAAAAGCGGGGAAAAAGATCCCGGGAAAAAAGATCCGGGAAAAGCGGGGAAAATATCCTGGGAAAAGAGGGGAAAAATATCCCGGGAAAAAAGATCCCGGGAAAAGTGGGGAAAAATATCCCGGGAAAAGCGGGGAAAGAGATCCCAAAAAAGTGGGGGAAAAGATCCAGGGGAAAGCGGGGAAAGAGATCCCGGGGAAAAAGATCCGGGAAAGAGCGGGGAAAAATTTCCCGGGAAAAAAGATCCAGGAAAATACGGGGACAGTGGTCCCAAAAAAGTGGGGGAAAAGATCCCGGAAAAGCAGGGGAAAAGATCCCAGAAAAAGTGGGGGAAAGGATCCCGAAAAAAGCAGGGGGAAAGATCCCCCAAGAAACAGGGGAAACTATCCCGGAAAAAATCGGGAGAAAAAAGATCCAAAAATAATCGGGAAAAATTATCCCCAAAAGCGTGGGGAAAAAGATCCCAAAAAAAAGTGGGGGGAAAAGATCCCCAAACAAAGCAGGGAAAAAAATCCCGGGGAAAGTGGGAAAAAAGATCCCGGAAAAAGCAGGGAAAGAGATCCCAAAAAAAGCAGGGAAAGAGATCCTGGAAAAAAATGGGGGGAAAGATCCCCCTAAAAAGTGGGGAAAAAGATCCCGGAAAAATTGGTGGGAAAAGATCCGGGAAGAAAGATCCCAAAAAAGAGGGGGAAAGATCCCAAAAAAAGCATAAAAAAAGATCCCGGAAAAAGCGGGGAAAAAATCCCAAAAAACCCATAACTAAGAACTGCCCTGGGTCAGCATGGAGCGATTTCCCATGTGAAAAATGCATGTTAAACGTGTGAAAAATGCATGTTAAACATGTGAAAAATGTATGTTAAACGTGTGAAAAATGCGTATTTTATGATCGGTTTTTCACAAATATTAAATTGAATACTATATGTAATATGTTACATTGATTAGAAGTGCTGTATTAACATTTTAATAGTACGGTAAATGTTGTTTTGTGGTTAAAATTAAGCTTTAGTAGTTAAAATAGAAACTGTGTATGTGGGTTTTGTTAAGGGATGAGATACTCTCTGCGAGATAACAGTCACAGAACCCTTAAATCTTAAATATTTATATATAAAGAATAAAAGAAGAGGAATTGATGGTTCTCTTGTCAGAATAAATTATTTCTTCAGGCCTTTATTTTAAAAATAAATTTTAAAAACCAAGCGATTGGCATTTTTCACAAATGATTGGCTCGTCACAAATATTAAATTGAATATTGTGTGTGTGAAAAATGCCAATCGCTTCTTTTTTAAAATCTTAAAAGTTTATTAGTAAAAAAAATAGTTATTAAAAATAATAATAAAATTAGAGTAATAAAAATTTGAACAATGAGGATTAGGAGACAATAAAAAGCAAAGAATTATGGACAGCAACAAGACACCTGTGAAAAATGCCAGTCACTTGTTTTTCAAATTTTTAGAGGTTTAATAATAATTAAATGGTTATAAAAATAGTACTACAATTAGAATAATAAAAATTTAGAGCTAGGACAATTACAAGACAATAAAAAGCAAAGAATTATGGACATCTGGATATTTTTGGGCACTGAGGTGCCAAAACCACGCCTTGTGAACAAAGGAATAACCTTAAAAGCAATAGCCTGTTGCATATTCATGTATCTCATACATGATGCATAAATTACTTGCAAATTAAGAATTTTTCTGGTTTTTGTCAGCTTCATCTCCTTAATCCTTATGGTTCCATAAAGATGGAGAGAAGGTGGAAGGATGTTTGCCTGTTCTGATAAGGAGGCTGTAACTTTTTATGGGTCCTGTTGCTGTTATCTCTGTGCAAAGAGTTTCTTGATTATCTCATCCCTTTCTTGAGCTTGTTAAAAAAATATCTCACATCTCATAGTTTCTATTATAACATTATGTTGTAATCTAAAACTACATCTACCACGCTGCTTAAAAAGGATTCATACAGTACTACAAAATAATCCTCCATAATACTTATAGCATTCAATTTAATATTTGCGAAGAACCAATCATAAAATACACATTTTTCACATGTGTTATGTTGGAAAGTTATTTTGTAGAAACTACCTGTGCTATATTTACAATAACGTGCCAATGTAACCTCCCTCAGTGGGATGGTACAAACATTATATATTAAAAACTACCTGTGCTATATTTACAATAACGTGCCAATGTAACACCCCTCAGTGGGATGGTACAAACATTAAATACCAGAAACTACCTGTGCTGGATTTACAATAACGTGCCAATATCTGTCACCTACGTTGGACAGTGTGTCCCCAGCCTGAACCAACAGAAAAATGCCAACACCACAGTGAAACATGGAGGGCATGAAGAAGGAGGAAAAGGACAAGACACACCCAATTCCTCCATCTTGTCCCCTTTGAACCCCTCATCTAGAATCCTAAAATTTTACTTTTGCACCCGTGCCACACTTAATTATTACTTATATCAAACACTCAGAGCTGGTAATTCATCCTGTAAGATTGAAAACTCTTTTCCATGGACAGAGATCACAGCCAGTGTCTCTGGGGGCTCTGTCCAGGGGGGTTCCTGACCCCTGAAGGGTCCCAGAGCTGCCAGGGCAGCCAGAGGGAAGCCCTGGATTCCCACAGAAAACAATCTTTATCTCTGCTCCTTTGTTTCGCCCATGTGGAATGTGGTTGGAGATTGTTCACCTGCAGGGATGGCTGGGTTGGATTCTGGTGAAGGTTTTTTGGGGTCAGTGACCAATGGATCCAGCTGTGTTGGGCTCTCAGCAGCTGGATTGGATTCTGGTGAAGTTGTTTGGGGTCAGTGACCAATGGATCCAGCTGTGTTGGGCTCTCAGCAGCTGGGTTGGATTCTGGTGAAGGTTTTTTGGGGGTCAGTGACCAATGGATCCAGCTGTGTTGGGCTCTCAGCAGCTGGGTTGGATTCTGGTGAAGTTGTTTGGGGTCAGTGACCAATGGATCCAGCTGTGGCTCGGGCTCTCAGCAGCTGGATTTTGGTTCTGGTGAAGTTGTTTGGGGTCAGTGACCAATGGATCCAGCTGTGGCTCGGGCTCTCAGCAGCTGGATTGGATTCTGGTGAAGGTTTTTGGGGTCAGTGACCAATGGATCCAGCTGTGTTGGGCTCTCAGCAGCTGGGTTGGATTCTGGTGAAGGTTTTTTTGGGGTCAGTGACCAATGGATCCAGCTGGGGCTCAGGCTCTCAGCACAGAGTCACAAGTTTGAATTACTTAAGTAATAAGAAGCATGTAGAATAGGAAAATATCTCTTTAAATAGTATGTTAATGCAATATAGTATAATTTCAATAAAGCTATCCTTCATCCTTCTGATCTGGAGCAGACATCATCATTTCTTCCCGCACCCGGGGTTCGCCGCATTTTTCCGATTCACACCCCCTGCCCCGGTGCCACCCCTGTCCCCCGCCTGCCTGCAGCACACAGAGCCCCAGTCACCCCCAGCTGTGGCTCCCTGAACACAAAGCAGGCACAGAGCAGTCCAAACCAACTCCTTTATCAGCAAAGCCTGAGCAGGAGCGGCTGCCCTGGACAGAGACACAGCACTGACCTTCCCCCCTCACACAGCCCCCGAATAATCAGGCTAGCCCAGAAATTTGAGGCTGTGAGGGGAGGAATATCAGGAGATGGCAAAGATTTCCAAAAGAGGCTCTTACCCCAAGATATTTTGGTGCAGCTCTCTTTATTCTGTGATGTCCTTGTGGAGAGAGGGGCAAAAAGAGCACGAACAGGAAATGTCAGGGGTCTATATAGACTTTGGACAGGGTGGGCTTCTCTGGATCTCCGCCAACCCCGTTGGGGCAGGAAGGAGGGGTCCAGGGTTGTCTTGATCAGAGTCACAGGGTCCCGGGGAAGGGGAAATAGAACGCCCATGAGCTCCCTGTAACACAGCACCTCTGAGGCAGGGAGGGAAAGCGTTGCCTGAGCCCCGGGGCGGCCGTGTCACGGCTTTCCTGAGCCCGCAGGCACAGCAGCTCCTGCTGGAGAACGGCCCCAGCTGATCCAGGAGGCTGCAGTGAGGGAGGCAAGGATGACACCCAAAAGCCAAGCAGCCCAGCTGGCAGCCAGCGTGGAGCTGGCCTCGGGTCCCGCAGCCCTTTCTCCGAGCAGGACAGCGCCCTGCTGCAGGAAAGCCGCCTCTGGGGCACTGTCCCTTCTTGTCTCACAGCAGCTGATCCCAGGGGTGCTCTGAGCGCTGCCTTTGCCCCGTCCTGGCCCCTGGGCTCAGGCTTGGCCACGAGGCCGATCGTCCCAAGGAGGGGGTTGGGTTTGGCTCTAGGGCAAAGCTGAGGGAAATGTTTATAGCAAACAGGTAAGAGGATTCCGGCTTTCCCATAAAGCGAGGGAGTTGCTGACTGATGGGTGAAGTAATGCGCCTTATTTCATCCAATTTGGGAAAAATTAGATGCCACTGTCTTCACTGGGCTTGAGAGCGTTGTAACTGCATTTTGTGGAGAGCCTGGTCCAAAGTTCTCCTAAGCTGCAAAGCTGCTGTTATTCTTCCACCAGGGATGTGGCCTAGTGCTTCTCCAGCTCGGACAGTGCTTCCTGCTTGGTAATTCTCCGCCACGCCTCAGGGATTTCTCCTTTGCCCTGAAATTTCCCATTGCACCAAGATTCCAGCTTTGTCCTGAAACGAGACACAAACCATTTCCAGTACGCCTGCATGGATGGATCAGGAAGGATGTTCCAAGTGGAATAAGGAGGTCCAGCATCCCGGTATTCCTTGTAGAGGATGCGTTGGCCACCACCAACTCTGAAGTCACCGTCACTTGCAACAAGGCTGGAACAAATGTCAATGGCCAGTTCATCTGACTCATACTTGTTGTCGGTTTCCCATGTACACCTCATGAGTCCCTTCAAAGCTCGTGGGCGATGGAAGGCCACTTGATGATCTCCATCGTGATTCCGCATGGTGTTTGTGCAGACAGCCCCACAAAAGGGGCACTGTGCCCTGCATCCCGAAAAATGCTCCGCCAGGATGGTGTGAGGCTGCCTTGAAAACGAGGTCAGGTCAGCCCCAGCCAGTTCTTCCCTGAGCCTGTCCCTCAGGTCTTCCAGAGCTTCTGCCATGGCACTGCTCAGGAACTCAATGTCTGTGACCTCCTGGTGCTCGATGCCCTTCAGCTCACTTCTGGGCAAGTTCATCACCTCTGACAGTTCCCTGCAAAATTCATCCAGCCAGAGAGAGACTTTGTCTTCTCTGTCTTTTCTGTCTTTGACAACTCGGGTTGATAAAGAAACAGCTGACAGGATGTTTTGAAAGAGAAAATCAAGGGAGGAATCTAAAAACATCGTCAGACTCCTACTTCCATGCAAACAGTGCCTCCTAACTCGTGTCTCAATGTACATCTCACAAAACTGTTTTGGAGATCTAAGGTACTGCTTGAAATACGAAAACCTTTCCTTTTCTGCCAGGTGTCTCAGTATGCAAACTTCCAGAGTGGCTCTGCTGCCCTGGAAATCTGGGAATTTGCCCTGCATGTCCTCAGCGATGTCTTTAGCTGCCCTCTCATAGACCGCCTGGCGAAGAGCTGGTTCAATCTTGTGACAAAGGAAAACAGCAAAAGTTGTGACAGAAGTGGCTCCTTGGCAGGAAATCTGGAAACATTGGAAGAAATCTTCTCTCTTGCTTCTCAGGTACACAACTGGGTCATTTGCCATTTGGAATGCTTCGTGCATGGCTTTAAACCTTTCTGCTGCCATTGTGCACAGATACAGAGACAAATCTATGCTGTACTCTCTGGTAAAAGTACAATTTCCGTCGCTGGGGACAGAGTTCACACCTTTCTGCACTTCATCGAGTATTTCATGAATAAAATTTCTGCTGTAATCGCGTTTCTCCTCTTCCTTCTTAGCAATGTTTACATTCACATACACTATAGTGCTGTCTGTGATCTTCCTAAAGTTGATCACATCCTCATCAGAAATGCTCCTGGAATCTGAGAAAAGCCCAAAATACTTTTTCGTCATTATGTGTTTCTCTGGATCAAAAGAAAACCCTCTGCCTCTGGGAAATGACCTGATCCGTGCATGGAAACCCGGCTCCTTAAAGTGCTCTAGAAGGACATCTTCGATTTCTGCATCAATATCCACCCATTCTGGACGAGGAGCAGCACAGGAGACTTTGGCAATCCACTTCTTCAAAGCACGGGTAAAGCTGTGCTTCAGCTCTCTCTCACTGAGGCTCTTCCCTTTCAGACTCACAGCCCACTCCCGACTCCTTCTCAGGAGCTCATCTTTATATTCCAACTTCCTTGCATCCAGTTTCTTCTGCTCCTTCTGTAGCTCAATAAGATTCTCACATTTCTTTTTTGTTTCATGAAGAAGAGCTTCTTTTAATTCTTTCAACTTCAGCTCTGTGCCTGATTTCCACTGGACCAGCATCTCATGGTCTTCGTCTTCCCTGAAATACTTGTCCACTTCTTTCTCAATGGCATCGCTCGTCTCTTGCACCAGCCCTTCAAGGTGCTCTCTGGTGACATTCTGCCAGTCCCCATTCCGAATTTTGTTGTCCAGTCTCATCTGTACATCTAAGATGTGACTCCTCAGCCTCCAGGTCCACTGACTAAAGGCACTTTCCAGTTTCCTGTACACAGCAATCTCCAGGGAATTCTTGAAGCTGAAAACAAAGTTTTCATTCAGCAAAGCATTCCAGAGGTCACCAATACGATCTTTCAGGCTCGAGAGCCTCAAAATGCTGTGCTGCGACTCCTTCCTGGCAGCCTGGAAGATTTTGCTCTTTAGTTGCTGGACGTTCTGGCTGTAGGTGGGGTTGGGTGGTGCCACTGGGGGGTTTCCTACCCACAGGTGAGCAAAGTAGTGAATGTGGGTGTTCACATCAAAGCCAATGACATCGCTGAAGGAGGAGACGTCACAGAATTCCTGCTGAGCAGCTACCACAGTCATTTCATCCAGCTTTTCCTGCAAACGCCGTTGTCCTTCCATGTTCTGCTCCTTGGCAGTGGCTTCTCCCATGTTTTGGTGGACAAAGAGGCAGCTTGGGGAAAGATTGACTTTCTTCATCCTCAGGAAAGCCTGCACAGCAATCTGGAGAACATCTTGCGTTTCTGACGGATTTTCTCCAACGATATTGATCACAGTCAAGTTGCCAACACCAATGACAAAGGTGGCCAGCTCGTTGTCATGGTTCAGGGACGGTTTATCGGCCATCTCGATGGCACGAAGTCCCTCTGTGTCAACCACCAGCACAAAATCAAAGCCCAAGTCTTGCTGCAGCTGCTCGCTGACTGGGATGAGCTGCATGAAGGCTCCGCGGGTGCATCGCCCCGCGCTGACGTTGAACTGCAGACCAAACATGGCATTCAGCAGGGTGGACTTGCCTGTGCTCCGGACGCCGAGCACGGAGAGCACAAACACTCGTTTGTCCCCCAGCCTCTCAATTAAGCTGTCAAAGATTGCGCCCACCCAGCGCAAGGGCAGGTAAGAAGCGTCCCCATCCATCAGCTCCACGGGATACCCTGAAACCATCAGCTCTGCTGCAATTTCTGGCAGTTTGACAAAACTCTCAGTCTCGGAGCTTATAAATTCCAGAGCCTCATAAATCTGCCCCACCTCTCTCAGAAGGTGCTCCAGGCCAATGGATAAATGGTTGATTTCATCAGAGAGGGCATCCAAGCGACTCAGCAACTCATCATTGCCACTGGGTTTTTTCTTGCTTCTCTTTCCTGCCAGGTTTTCAGACCATAACTCGTGATAGTCTCGCCTCAGTTCTTCAAGGCGACCACAAGACAGCTCGTGCATAAAGACCTTCATCCACTGCAGGAAGTATTTCTTGGTATCTGCTGGCTGGGCCTGGAGAAAGCCAAGGAATGATTTCATCAGAGGGTTGAAGGGGAAAGCTTCCTTAAGTTGCTGTCTTCTTATTTCTTTCTTCTCATTTTCGATTTGGCTGCGATGATGCTCAATGCTCCTGTTGCCCTTCTCCTTCAGGCGAGTGAGTTCTTTGTCCTTTTGGCACCACTGGTGCCACAGTTCTCCTTGAAGCGGCAGCAGCCGGGATTTGATCTCAGACAGGTTCTCTTTCTTCAGAAGCTCCACCAGCTCCTTTGCCTTTGCTTTGGCTGTCACACACGCGGCTTGATCTGCATCCACTACAAATCCGTGCTGGCGAGCTTTGTCCGCGCAGGCCTCCAGGCTGAAACAGGGATTAGACCCTTCCAGGAGATTCCCAATTGTCTTGGTCAGCTGCTCCATCAGTTCTGCTTCGTTTCTATTCTTGATTCCTATAATTATGGTTTTGCTGGCTTGTCCAGCTGCAACGTTCTCTTCTTCTGTGAGAAGACAAACCAAAGGCCTTTGTGACTGCAACAGGTCCCGCAGAATCTTTCTCCCCCTGCTGTCCATGTGCTCCCAATCGGACACAAGCACCACGTTGACAGCAGATATCTCCTGCAGGAAGCGCAGCTGTGCTCCGTGGTCCCTGTCGTCTCCATGCAGGTTGCAGAAAGCCACGCAGCACTCAAAGGTGTCATTGGGGCTTCCATGGGGGCAGTGCCAGGCGATCTCCACCAACCCTTCCACCAGCAAACGCTCTCTGGTGCTACCTTTGCAGCGGCGGTGGAAGAAAGTGTCGTGTTTGTGTTTGCTCAGCAGAGCGTTCAGGAGCTGGGACTTGGAAGAGGAGGCTGAGCTGCCAATGCGGATGAAGGACACGATGGGTGTCTGTGCCTGAAAGATGAGTTTGTTGTTGTAACTCTTTCTTTGGGCCTGCTTTCCCGACTTCTCCGCCTCTTTCCAGCTCCTTTGGATTTGGCTGAGGGCGTAGAGCGGGAACTCGATGCGTGAAGTGCTGGGGTTGGGCACCAGCAGAGGCAGCGCCAGTTGGCAGAACGCCAGCTTGCTTGCAAGGGTCTGTCTCAGGAAGTCATCAGCACAATGGAAAATGGCCATCTGCAGGTCCATGGGGTGCACATGGCCGTCCCTGCCTGAGTGTTCAGGGGCTGCTTCCATCAGCTTCTCAAGGAAGTTTTCAAAGGAGTCTGATTGTTGTCTCTCTTGCTCTCCGGTTGGTGGCACGGGTGCAAGGCCTAGGTTGCTCTCATCCCAGCAAGTCAGGTACCTCACCTGGTAATCCACAGTGAACAGCTTTTGCAAGAAGTAAAATGGCAGTTCCTTGTCCTGGCTGGGCTGGCTGTCCTGCAGAGATGTCCTGCAGATGGTGCAGAAATCTCCCATTCCCATTTTTCTTGGATAGTGACTTTCCAGTCCAAGGCTCTTGAGCAACTGGAGGAACTCCTGGTTGGCAGTGGCTTCACTGTCTTTGGATTCGCTGCTCTCTGACTTGGATTGGGAGTGACTGGGGGCCTCATATATTGGAAAATTGCCTTCCACATCTCTGAGTATGTTCTGCATCCTCTGTTCATGCCATTTGTCATCCAAGCACCCACCGATCAAGGAGTGCAAGTCCCGTTCCAGCCTCTCCCAGTCTTCACTTCTGTGCTTTTGGAGGAGTTTCTTTATCTGTGTGGACCACAAGCCGTTTGTGTGATCTTCCATGAAAACTAAACGCTTCCTCTTCTGCTCAGGGGACAGCTCTTGACTTTCGGGTGTCACAGTCAGACCCGTCAGCAGGAGGAAGGCCTCAGCTCTGTCGGCGTCTTGCTCCTTCAGGTTCTTGTACTCCTCATGTGCCACTTCCATTTCCTTGGCCATGTACTGAATTTCTGGGTGTCCAAGGAGGTGCTGAAAAGTGCTGCTTTCCACCTGGTACCCTGTGCTGGTCGCGATCAAGAGCACCAACAGCTCCATGTCCTTCTGAGCCTGTTCCCGGAGAGACTGGAGCAGGGAATAAATGGCGAGGCTGCTGGTCTGGGTGGCTTCTCTCTTTGCTGTACGAACGGCAGAAGCAGAGCTTCCTGGTGCATAGGTGACAGCATGGATGTGCTCCTTCATTTGCTGCAGTGTTCTGATGAGCTCTTGAAGCTCAGAGACCTCGGGAGATCCAGGAAGCGGGTGCTCAGTCTGGAAGACCCATTGCATGATGAAGGAAGCCTCAGGGAAGTCCTTGACAGAGTAGATATGAGGATTCAGGAGGCTCCTCAACATGACCTTGATAGAGGTGGTGTTTTCTGGAGGTGACTCCTGGCAGCTCCACACGGTGTTCACCAGGAAGTCCTGCAGGGCTTTGTCCGACAGGCACACGTTGATCCACACACTGGGGTTCTTGGTTTTTGCACTCAGATCATCTTTTAGCTCCATCAGCATGAGCAGCTTCCCTTCATCCACCGTCCCCTCCCAGCCCTTCACAGTCCCCATGAAATCTCTGGCCTCTTGCACTGCACTGCCCAGTTCCTCTCCAAAAATGGTGCCAACACTCTGATTCGTCAGCGCTTTGTACGCAGCCCTGAGGGCTCTGCTCATTCTAACAACAGATTTAAAATCCCCGCAGTGATTGTACAGGATGATGTCCCACACTGGGATCAGCTCAAAGCCGCGGTCGATAACGCACCACGTTGTGTTATCAGACACGAGCCCCATTTTCCACTGAGGAAGGGAATCTGTGTCTGCTGGGCCGCCTGTGCTGACCATGTAGAGCTGAATTGCTGTATGGGAACTCTCTTTGGCTCTTCCCTGGACAGAAGCCTTTGATGTGGATTTGGAAACATCCAGGGCCCCTTCTACAGTGGCTCTTAAGTGAAGCCGGCTGGCCCAAACCAAGTAGTTCAGTGCATCAGATGTTTGTTGCTCCATCTCTTCCCGCTGCTTGGCTCGGAATCCTTCTGTAGACGCCTTCCACCAGAATATCCCCCCAAAGTGGAGGGGACCCTGGTTTATGTGGGACCCAAACCTGCTGAAGAAGCTCTCACACATGTTTGTCAAGAAGGCACGATCTCTTTTCTGACTGAAGCTCAAAAGCTGCTCCATGTCCTGCAGCTCCCGCAGAGCCGCATCCGAGAGGCGAAGCTGGTGCCTTTGGAAGTAGCAGGAGGCCAGAGGGATGTACAGGTACTTGGTGGTGCAAAAGTAGTTCTGCTCAGAGTGGGACCTGTGGGTGTCCTGTGACTGTGAGGACCTGCTGTAATCTACACCCCCTTCCAGAATAATCCTCCAGAATGAGCCTTTGCCAGAAACGCTCATGCTGAACCCCAGCTGCTCCATGGACTTGGTGAAAGCGGATTCTGCTGCAGAGGAGGAGAACTCCTTCCTCTCAAGCAGTGATTTTTGCTCTGGACCGGTGAGCTGGAATCCCTCGGGAACCCTGAGGAGCTGCTCTCGCTTTGCCAGCACATCTTCAGGTCTGCTGGTTCTGTAGATGCCCTGCAGGGCCAGTCCCCCCGACGCCCGCCTCAGCACCTCCGTGTCGGGGATGTTCTCCCTCCTGCCTGCTGACAGCTCCTGCTGCTCCAGCTGCTTCTGGATGCTCTCCAGACTATCCGCCAAGGGCTCCTTTAGCGCTGGCCAGAACTTTTTGGGAATGTCCATGGCTCGCCACAGAGTCTCTGCTTTCTTCCTCAGATCATCCTGGCTGTGGCTGCGGCTCTTGAGAATTTCTGTCAGATCATTCAGGGCTTGTTTGGCCAATTCTTCTGTTTTCTTAGCCATCTCCGAGTACTTCTGCACCTCTTTAGTGGTTGTTTTGTCATCTCTTATTTTCAGGACTTTCTGGAGTGCCTTTTTCTCCCAGGGGTGCCGTACGTGACACTCCAGCCTGAGGTAGTCCTCATATTTCAGACGTTGCAGGGCTTCTCTGCTCTTGATTCCCAGGATCTGTGAAGCTTTGGGCAGCCAGTATCCAGCATCCAGTCCTTCCTTCTGGAACGCCTCTGCCAGGAGCTGTGCCTTTGCATCCCCCTCCTGTGCGTCCTCCTGCGAAGCCATGGCTGTGGAGGAAGAACAGAGACTTTCCCTAAGGTGTTGTCAGAGGCCCCAGGCTCCTGGCAGAGGCTCTGCAGCAGCTGCAGCCCTGGGGATTGCTCCCACTTGGCTGCCAGAGCCAGACCTGGAATGGCACAAGAGCCAGGGTCTCCTTCCCAGCCCCCTGGATGTGCCTGTGGCTTTCCTGTCTGCAGGATCAGCCTTGAAGGTGAGTGTGCATCCCAGAGAGAGCACAGACACACGGACAAACACACAGAGACACAAAGAGACACAGAGACACAAACACAGACACAGAGGCACAAACACAGACACAGAGGCACAGAGACACAAACACAGACACAGAGACACAGACACAGGGACACAGGGACACACACAGACACAGGGACACACACAGACACAGGGACACACACAGGGACATGTGGGAGCCAGCCACGGGGAAGACAGAGCCAGGATGCCATGGGAAAGCACCATAATTTAACACAGAAACTGGTGCAACTTCCCACAATTCCCTGCCTTTTCAGGCAAATGGATGGCTGTCAGTCACCAGGCGTTCACTCCTCAGTTCTAGAAAATACTGTATCCCCTGTTCCGCATTGGTCCTCCCTGGAAAACCCCTCCTTCCTTGCTTCCCCATGGGTCCAGGTCAAGTCACCCCACTCCAACCCCTCCCCTGAGTCCTCTCCCCATTGGATGATTTGTATCCTGACCCTTTCCACCTGCCCTCAGTGACCCCGCCCCTGGTCCTGGCTCTTTGCCACAAATTCCCTACAGCAGAAGTTGTGTTCCTGCTTCCACCCTGCCTCCTTGGATTCTGCCCACTCCTACCCTGCCTGGACCTTCGAATTTCTCCTTAATAAACCCTGCTGGATTGTACCAAGAGCCCCCTTGTCATTCTGGTGGTGGTTTCATTTCACCATCTGGGCTCGGGAGTCTGCTGGGCTGGGGGAGTTGCCGATTTAGGCGGAAGCAGAGATGCTGTCGGTGCAGCAGGCACGCCGACTGTGGGAGTCCAGACAAGCGCCTCTTTCCTTTGCTTGTGGGACCAGCTCATCTTTGGACTCACGTGGAGCTTCTCCAAGCCCCCAGGATCCAAGGAGAAGTTCCTTCCCTCTGCCCGACTCGCCCACTGCCCAGCTGGCCGGGCTCCACAGGGGATCTGTTCCCGTGGATTCGAGGGGGAGACGCAGCAACTGGAGATGCTGGGAGCCAGCTCAGAGAGGTGCCCTCCGTGACCTGCTGCTCCTTAGCACAGAGGGTTGTTGGAGAATGGCTGGGGAAGAAAGGTCATGGATCAATGGAGCAGTTATTCATTGATAGCTCTGTCTAAGAGCCCAGAATCAGAATCAGACTGTGTCTGGCCTGGGAACAGAGCTTGGGAAACAGGCTCTGTGTCTAGGCCTGGGAAACTGTACAAGGTCTGTCTAGGCCTGGGAAATGGAACAAGGTCGGGATGAGATAATAAGGATGAGCATATCCTTGGCGATATGCTTGTACAGGAATAGGCTGTGTGACAAGGTGTGCCCAGAGAGGATGGGATGTACCATGACAAAGGGACTAGAGATGAGAAACTTGGCTTAAGAAACCTGTCTATAGCTGTAAATGCACATAGGCTAAACAGAACAAAGACCTTTGTAAATTGAGCAATGAGAGCTGTTGCTGACTTTGCTTGTAGCAAACCCCATATAAACTGACAGGATTTTTGAATAAATGAAGCTTGCTTATCAATCATACTGATTGTGCTTGTCTTCCCTCCGCCTGTGGCTTCAGAGGGTCTCGTCAGGCGGTGCCCATTGGAGGCAGGCTTGGCTTCAGCCACCACGGAGCCACCAAGTTCAAAATCTCTGGTGACAGCAGGAAAAGTGCCTGCAAACCTTCAGCTGGGCACCTGCCCTTAAACCTTTGGGGTTGTGACTCTGTCACACAATTCTGAGAATTGTCCCAGTCTCAGTTCACTTGGGTACTGGAGAGATTTCCTCCTTGCAAACAAGCCTTCAGAGCATTCAGCTGCTGTCCCAGCAAGGCCACAACACTGTCACCAGCACAGGAATGGATCCCAGGGGCTTGCCCTGGGCTCCTGCACCCTTCCAGAGCTTTCAGGGGCAGCTTTCCCTCAGAATCCCTGCGGAATTGGGCAATGTGTGCAAGGGCTGTGGGCTCTGACTCCCCTCACCCACCTCACAGCAGATGCTCCCGTTGCTCCCAGCCTTGGCTTCTCAGCTCAGGGGATGCAGCACAGCAGCAGTGGTAGACCTGGGGCACACAGGCTGGGTGTGGAGAAGATGGGAGCCTCTCAAGAATTCAGGTGTGGAGCACCAGGAAGGAAAGGCTCAAATCCTAAAGGAGAAGAGCAGACAGTCAGGAGAAAGCGACCCATGGGCACAGAGGATTCATTCCAGGAGCACTGGAGGCCAACCCTTCATCTCCACTGGGGATTGCCCAGGCAGCAAAGACTCCTCAGGGCTCTTCTGGGGAGGTGACCAGAGCAGGGTTTCACTGGGACCTACATCCATGTTCTGCTCTGCGAAATACAAATTTGTGCTTTGTGTCAGGCAAATAAAGGCAACGTGTGCAGTTGTGGTTATGGAATGTGTGGAACACGGCCATGGGACAGTGTTGTATTGTGGTTTTATATTTCGGTAATAGTTCTGCAATAGTTTGCCCCTTCACCTCCCTTTGGTTCCACCCCGAGTTTTCCCACCTTTCCCTCAATGTCAATCTCCCTGAAAACGCTTCGTCACTCCCCTCTCCCCTCCCTTGTCCATCACTCGGCTCCCCATCCCACTCTTCCAGAATCTTCCACCATGGGCATCGAGGGATTGGACGGGGCCCAGGGGTCCCTCCCTTAAACTTCCCCCATTGGTTTATGTCTCTGTCTATCCTCTCACCGTCCACTCCCCCAAATCCCTGCATTGGTTAGTGGGAGTCCCTTCCCCCTGTTACCGCCCCGATATTTAATATGTTGTGAGAGCCTCGAGGGCGCAGAAAATGAAAAAACTGAAACTGAACTCTGAAACTGAACTCTGAAGTCTACAAAAATAGACAAAAATATTAGAGTTCTCTGTACAAAGAGCCAACTGTAAATATTAACTCAAAATCAACAAAATAAATATACATTAACCTATTGTGAGATTCTATGTATATGTAGATTAGTACAGGATAGTAAAAAAAGATTCCCCCAAAATTACGCACGCCCTTTAAAGAAGAACTCCTGCTGCGAAGAAAATCCCAATGTACACCCAGCGCAGAATAAAAATAAAAAAGATATTAAACTGTAGCTTTAGAATGTATAAGTCTTAAGCTGTTTTGCAATAAGAGCTTTTGAATTATAACTTCAGAATGTTACTGAGAACTAAGGATTTTTAAGCTGTAGCTTTAAAATGTATAAAGGATTTAAACATAGAGGGAAGTGACCCCATCCCAAGCTCCTGGAGAAGGAAGGTGGACATCAAGGTTGCAGATTGATGATTTTGAAAAGCCAAGCTGGACATCACTACCATAGATTAATGATCCCAGAAAATAGAAGTTGGACCCCACCATCTAAACACACATCCTGGGATATCCACAACAGGGTATAGAAATTGGAAAGGAACCAGACATCACCAGCATACATTTACGATCCTGAAGTATGGAATTGTGATGTTAAAGGTGGAAATGCAAACTGTGGAAAGCTCACGTAGAAACTGGGAAAAGATTATGAATATACATGAGTGTGATCAATAAATACCAGCAAGCCCAACAATCAGTGTGCAGTCAGAGGGGAAAATCCCCACCACTGCACCCAGCGCTGTCTTTGCTCGTAGGTCACCATATTAATTAATAAATTAAATTGCTGCTTGATATATTGTCTGAGTCAAGCGTCTCATTTGCAGCAGTTCCTTCCAGAAGGAAGCTGGACACGCTGGAGAGGTGGGACAGGACAAAGCCCACGGAGGTCAGCAAGGCCGAGTGCAGGTGCTGCCCCCGGGTCGGGGCAGTTGCAGGGACAGATGGGGCTGGGAAGAGAAGGGATTGAGAGCAGCCCTGAGGAGTGTCAGAACTCAAAATGTCCCTCAGACATTTTTAGAGGTTCCAGGCCTTAGTCAGAAGCAGTTTAGACCCTAGCAAGCAGCTGAGAACAGCTGTGATTTTAAGTTTAAACCATAGAATAAATTACCAACTTTAAAGGTAGAACAAGCAGTCACAGAGAGTTAAATAGTATAATAAAAGTAGTCACAAATTAGAGGGTAAAATTTTTTAGTATTGTACAGGGGGGTTTTAACACCTGTACAGGGGGGTTTTACTTTGTACAGGGGGGTCAAGAGTTCTAAGATAGAAGAAAGTAGACCTAATCCTGTTCTTCCTCCTTCTTCTTCCTTACCTCCATGTTCTTAGTAATGTTAGCATTTTTCTATTAGTTTAGGCTAGGGACACACTATTCAACGTAAATGATAGATATTAGCACATTATTGTAAATATAGTACACATAATTTCTAGTATATAATGTTTGTACCATCCCACTGAGGGGCAGAGCCCCACACGCTGCCCTGCAGAACAGACCTGCGGCAGGGCAGCAGAACATGTTATAGATAAGCAAAAATAAACAACCTTAAAACCAACACAAACGAACTATGGCTTCTTCTTTAGCAATAGGGCAGAAAGACACAGACTTTCTACAATCTCAGAATCATCAATACCCACAGATTCCGACAGAGGAGAAGGACTCGGGGGTGCTGGTGGCTGAGGGGCTGCCAGGGAGCATCTGTGCTCTGGGGCAGCAGACAGGGTGTGGAGGGGCAGAGGCAGCGGAGCAGCACTGACAGAGGGGCAGAGGGCCCTGTGCCACCCCTGCCCACAGCACTCAGCTGCTGCTGGGGGGGCTCAGGGCCCAGGAGAGGGGAGAAGCAGCGCTGGGCTTGGATCCCAGCAGGCACTGACCCCCAGTGCCTCCTGCACTCCCAGCAGCAGGATGGGGACAGGAGGGGACAGCAGAGACAGGAAAAGCCCCTGGCTGGAGACAAGGGCAGTTCAGCAGCAGAGGAAAGCTGGGCGTGCTGGCAGAGCACGGGAGGGATTTCACACACCAATTGTTCTCTTTGGGCACATGTCCAGCTGAGCCTCAGTGCAGGGCGGCTGC